TGGGAGTGTGGGACTGATATAGCAACAAGGACCACAACCATTGCCACAGAATGTGAGTCACCAGTGGCATATGTGTATCTGTTAGCAAAGGTGTAAAAACACCATTAGATCTGCTACGATCTTTCCACTCTGTTCTGTTTTGTACTATCCAACTTTATAATCTGCGCCTCGGACATAGGTGCGTATTTCTCATGTTGCCATTTGAAAACCGTGTAAGTTGAATTGCAACATACTGAATAGCAAAGACCTTTGGCACTGTTACTTTTCAACTCATTAGGACTTAAATATACCAGTTTCATTTTTTTTGTAGGGCTGTCCCAAATGGCAATTTTTGGGCTCTGGATATTTGGTGGTAATAATCAGTGAATATTCGAAGACTCACCAGGAGCCCATCTGGTAGTAATTTGTGTTAAAAACAAAAAGTTAATGAAAGTTCCCTGTATCCATTATCTATACCACTTAACCTAAGGAGAGTCAAAGGGGATCCAAGCCAATCCCACCTGTCACTGGGTGAGATGCGGAGTACCCTAATGTGGAGTTGGGTCTAACCCTCTTTTTTTCAAATACGATAAAAAAAAACAAGCTAAAAATTTCAGGAACTACCCTTATTACCAACTACCCAAGCTACAGTGTCAACTATTTTTTGGTCAAGCACTGTGACTTAACTGGAGTTTCCCCGGATGCCGAGCAACCTCACAGTGACAAGTCTCCAGAAATGACTGTGCCTGGCCAAAACACAGCAGCACAAACCCCAGTAATCTGCAACATGTCACTTTTACACATTTGGAAAGAAAGCAAATAAGTGCATTCCTGAAAATGTTGACCTATTTGTATAAATGTATAATTTTATAACATTCATCCCAGTGTGGCCAACATATCCTTGGGGATACAGACAAATAGTTATTCAATTAATTAAGTGACAGGCAACAATGATACTGTAACTAATTAATCAGTTAAGTCATTGTTCGAGCAAAGAAACCAACCATTCTGTGGTGCAATGGCTCAATTTGCTTATTGTTTTTCTATTATGTGCAAATGAGTGTTTTTAAGTTTTGAACTGTTTGACAGACAAAATAACCAGTTCAAAGATATCACCTTGGGCTTTAGGGGATTTCTCATTTTATGGTTCATAATATTAATTGAAAATATAATTGGCAGATTAAACAACAATGAAAATGCTCATTAGTATGAGCCCAGCTTTCAAATGTCTAAAGACATTTTTAAAGGTCTGTGGGACAAACAAAAAACTGTGTCCAAACCTCTGCAGGTTTATCTCACTGAAATAAACAGACAATTCACTGAATACCTTAAAGGATATTCATACATTTCCTTTAATTTGGATCACAAGCTGGCAGAATTTCACCTTGTAGGGCTAATTATACTTGACACATGGTGGCGTCAGCTGTGAAGCAGACATACAATATCTCCAACCTGGATCATTGATCACCGATCAGCCACAGTGACATCAGCTACCTCAGCAAATAACCTAGCTAATGACGCTGTGGAAAAGCGCTGTTTGGAGTTACATAAGGCATCACTTCCCACCACACAAGGCACAGTGACCAGCATTGTTTTCTACTCTGGGAGGTCAACTATTAGGTGGAAGCTCACATAGCAAAAACAATTACCTCCAGCAGGGGGTCTCAGCAGCGGAGCAGAGAATGAGGTTGCCTTTTAATTTGTGGTCAATTGGATGGCTTTTAAAGCAGAGGACTGGGGACAGTGTGGTTTCCTGTAGATAACTATAGCAAAGGCAGGCTTTACAGTTTGTGTAAAAAATATCTTAAGATCCTTATCACTGCATTATATCATTTGTGCTATGAGCAAAAGATGTGGATTTCACCATCAGGAGACCTTTATCTAAACGATTTCAACTATAATAGAGCTAACTGTGCATGGCCAAGCTGTAAGATCCAGGAGTGTTAGACCTCCAGCTCAGCTAGTGGTGGCATCAACTGGTTTCGCTATTACAACAGTTAACAGAGCAAAACATGTTGTTGACTATTGCATAGCATTAGTTCCACCACATTAGACACAATGACTATCATTGTGACAGCATCTCATTCGCAAGTACACACAAACAAACCCTGCCTCTATTTCTCTGACACAGAAATACACAGCATTTACAGCACAATGGCGTCTCATGCATGTACAGCACACGTGGCGAGCTCACTGGCGTGCTACTGTAGACATGTACAGAGCTATTGGTCATTATTTGGATGGAAACGTTTCACAAGCACACTCACAAATAGAGTCACAGATATTAATATACCAACAGTAAATGAGGTGATTTTCATATAATGTTCTTTAGTTCTGAATACATACACATGCACACAGACAAATGCAGGCCATCATGTCTGTAACAGTATCCTTGCAACATATAGAGCATCATTTTGCACATACTTACTGTAAATGACTCCGTGAGCACAAGCGAAAGTGTTTGTGCATCTGTGCACATGCATGTACAATGTTGTACTCTGTTCCACGATTCAGTTTCTAGGCTCCACCCTACAATCCTATTACACTGTTACATATCATCAATCTGTGAGATTTACAGTAAATAAATCCAGGTTTATTTTTGTGATGAGAGGTACCACTTTGCCTAAACCTCTCTTCTCTGCTTCTACTTGAGGCACTGATATCCTTCATTTCCCAGAGTAGGCTCCAGAGAACCCTGCCTGGATTTATTGCTCTACTGTAGCTGTTGGTCTTGCTGATCTACAACATACAGTAATAGTGTTCCCTCGGTTTTACATGTAGCCAAGATGAAACGCTTTATAATGATTGCAATAGTAACAGCGAGCACTTTTTACAGCTGGGAAACAGTAACAGTTATGCACCTCAGTCATGTCCTGTGGGTCCTTTGTGTTATGGTTTATTAAAGCTGCACTAATTAGTCTAAAAGGTTTTATTACAATATCCAATATGAAACATGTTGCTTGTAGTGACAAACACACAGATATTAATCACCCAACTCTGCATTTTAGCGTCTGTCATCTCATTGTTTTGGTTTTAGGGCCCACAACTTTTTTTTTTTTGGTTTACTCTAACCTCTCTCATGAACCTTGTTTCCAGCTACAGCGCACCACTGTTTACAGCAAAAAATAAAAAGTTGTAATAAATTCACTGTACACTACCTGCCCAGAACCAGACCATAGGAAGACAAAAGCCCCTTTTCCACTGCCTGGTACCGACTCAACTCGCTTTATTTGTTTTTCCATCAATCAGTTGTTGGGGACAGTAGCTGGTACCTGGTACTATTTTTGGTATCACCTCAGTCAGGTTCCAAACAAACAGGAGATATCAAAGGGTGACGTGTAAACACCACAGACTACTGACTGGTCAGAGAAATTAACCACTACTACGTGGCCGCCACTGAACCCAGGTGTTTACATGTGATGACACCAGTCACTCATTCTTCATTCATTATTAATAGTAGCTGCCACTTCTCTCTCACGAGTGTTATAGGGGGTGAAATATACGGTGACAGAGGTCTCGAGCCTCTGCTACCATATAATGTAATCATTATATTACATTAACCACAGCATCATACATCTTATCACATCACCCATAGGTTATTGAATGTGATAATATGAACACAATAGCTACGGCTATGCCTGCTAAGTCGAGCTAGCACATTAGCAGGTCATCACGTCTCAGGAAACATTGCAACAAATTTCAAAAGTGACATTACTTTGATAGACTGACCACACGAAAAACTAGATGGTTATATCTCGCTTGAAAAAATATCAAAGTTTAATAAAGTGGAATAATAATAGCCCTAAGATGAAAATTATAAGAGTTTTATGCCTGCCCTGTCACCACCACCGGGCAATGACTTCACAGAACTTTCATGCAGCGTCACTGTGACTAGCAGCTACACTGAGGGGGTAACGTCCGCAGTCGGAAACAAAGCACGTTACTAAAAGCAAGTAGAGTTTAGCTGGTAGCAGGTGCTGGTAAATACCAACAATCAAGCAACTAACTAGTAACCAGATAACTGTTTCCTAAGATGTTAGCATGTCAACTTTATTAGGCACCTAGCGAAAAACAAGATCTGTTAATGGTGCTTTAAGTTCTTTTTTTTTGTGAGGGATTTCTTTCTGTATGATTGTTGAACAGGGAAGAAAAACCTTTCAGACGAAAAAGCTCCCTCCGAATATACATTCATTACACCATAGCTGTCCTCGAAGTATATTACATTCACCTGACAGAAATTCACCAACATTTTGCCATATTTCTGTAGGAAACAGAAAGCACTAACTTTTGCTGCTTTATATTATTGTTAGTGTTTTAAGGTTGTATTTATTTTTGAAAATGGACTAATTAAATCGTTTGTGTTCCTCCTCACACATCCTCACATGTATGCAGACATACACACCTACAGACCCTTCCCTCCCTCCCTGTTGTCTTGCCTGGCACCAGTTTCCATTGACACAGATGGTGATGAGAGAAGGAGAGATCCAAAGAGAGACAGACACAGACAGGGAATGGCAGCAGTTGAACCCATGAGTTTATAGCACATCTGTTGTTCCTATTCCTTTACCACATTTACCACTATAAATCACCTGTGTGTGCTCTGTACATCCATTCATCCGCCATCTATCCACCCATTATTCCTTTTCCTCCAGTGCCTTTATTTATCACCCCCAGCCTCTGCCTATCTATCAGGACCCTTAGTACAGTCTGAGAGCTCCCAACAGCAGCCATTCATCTGTTCAGTCTGCCTATTTGTCTGTCTGTCCATCAAAGTATATTCTACTTTGAATCATGACCTTTAACTTCTGAAATGTGACCTTTCAGTCATCCATCTTTCTCCCTCCCTCCATCCATCTATTCACCCATACCTTGCTCCATGTCTAGTCAACAACATAAAGATGTGTCCTTCCCTAACTTGACTTTTTGTTGTTGCTGAACTTCTACAAGGTTTTTAAAACCCTTTTCTTGTGTTTGATTAACCCATTTTGCCAACACCGTACAGGATCAGTCTTAACACTTACCAGCTGCATGCCACAGATGAATGCCAAGGTACACCTGCCACTACAGCACCCCATGGTGTCTCCCTCCCTCTCTCCAGTGGTCCACGTGGTGAAGTAACTCTGGGCAATTCCCAAATCTCCAGCTGACCTCCAAAATCCAAAAGCCCCCCGGCCCCGGAGGGCTGTCTGGTTGGCTGGCAGCCCAGATAGAGGCGCTCGCTACCCGGTTTCAGTGAACAGAGTGCAGCCCCTGTAGCCGCCGGAGCTCAGGGGAATAAAAAGACTACTACTTCATTCAGATGGAGGGGATGCTGACAGGTTAACAGCCTGGAATGTGCTCCCCTGGATTTCCAACACACACAGGGTCAGGGATCAAAGATGGCAAGTGGGCTTTGGGGATGATTCAAGTCAACAAATTGTTCTTGCTGTATCCACAGAGCTCGGTTGTGCAGGTAAACCCTCTGCAACTACAGGCAGCTTAGTAGTCTGATATATCAGGTGCTGTTGTGCATTTTGATTTGATTACTCAACACTAAATTATTTCAGATTTCTGATAAATGTGGCTCTCTTGACACAAATAAAACCAGCTTGGCTATGGAAAGAACTCCTGCACCGAACAAAGGGTGTTATGTCCACACAGAGTCCACTGCACTATATAGTCGCATCCTTAGCACAGTCCTGTGCAATAACCACTTTGTGAGAGACTGTATAAGCAACCCGGGATGGAGAGATTAGATGGATATTCTCAAGATTAAATGCTCTCTTGTTTAATAATCCGATTAAGAGCTACTTGGATTTGGCTGACTGGAAAAAAAAAACCCCAATTTTGTTTGAGGGTGGAGAAAATAAGTGGTCATTGCCTCCTTTTCACAGACCAGCTCCTCTGCTCTCCTCACAGGGGAAGTAACGGACATGTAGAAGCAACATCCTTTAAGCTTCATTTACACGCTTTTAACCTCCAAACCTGCGTCTGTAATCCGGTGTCTTAGTTTATTTCTGAATGTGGTGTTTTATCCACTCGGAAAATGATGAGTATAATTGTTGCTAGGACGTTGTGATATGTCAACAGACACTGAGAGCTGGTTTTGGTGTCTGTTGGCTAACAAGTCCTCCTCCTCGGGTTCATCTCTGTTAGCTCCACAGCACAACCGCCGTTTTGTCAGCCCCGTCAGTCGTCGGGCGGTTCACTCGCTGCCTCCTCCGTTACAGAAAATACATCACTACAGTGTTAAAAATCAAGAGACAGAAACGCATGTCCATGTTTCGGATGGGCAGGGTGAAATTTCAGTTCGAGGTAAGTGTCCAAACGTTACGTACAACAGGAGATATCAGCGGAATGACGGCTAAGTTTAGTTTGTCATCTTGGGTTTGTCTTCAAGGAGTGAGAAAGGGGAGACAATGGGAACCGGGATGGACCAGCGGACCGAGAGAGAGAGAGAGAGAGAGCCGAGAGGAGCGTCTCATCTGCCATCTGTTAAGTCAAACACCACGCAACCACACAGCTGCACCGGTTGGTATTTCCAAAATAAAAGCATGTTTATTCTGAACGTGGGTATAGTGACAGTCAAATCTAAATATAATGTAGCTTGGATCAGAAGCATGCTGTTCCTGGCACAGAATCGTGTTTATGGCTTATGGTGGAGATATTACAGAACCCTAAAATAATTTCTCAAGCTCTTTCACTGTAATTTACATACAGATGGTAACGAATTAAAGGAAACCCCTGAATAAATGAGTGGAGACAGCCTAATGAATGCAGATGCTGGTGTGGTTTGGGTCCACTTTTCCCCACAGGGAAGGGTCACTGAGGATCATTACAAAGTTGTTCTGAGTGATCACCTATCCCATGATGAAACATTTCTATCCTGATAGGAGTGGTCTCTTCCAGGGTGACTGACCCCATCATAGGGCACGAGGGGTCACTGAATGGTTTGATGGGTGTGAAAATGAAGTGAATCATATGCTATGGCCTTCACAGTCACCGGATCCCAACTCAGTTGAACACCTATAAGAGCTTTTGGACCCACATGTTAGACATCGCTCTTCGCCACCAACATTAAAACACATTCTTTTGGACGAATGGAGACTCAATGCCAAGGTCCACTGAAGCTGTTCTGGCGGCACGTGGTGGTCCAACACCTTTCTGAGAAACTTATTGTACACTGGTTTTTCCTCTCATTTGTCACTTATAATTGAGCCTATACATTTTTTGTGGCATAAGAGTGGCCCACTAGACTGCTTTCAATCAGGGTCACAGGTGAGTATTCACTTTAGTAACGGTTGTTGTGGAATTATGTTACTCTAGCATCTTATTTTTGCTTCAGTTGGCCATAAAGGGCTTTACAGGTCCTTTGAGTTTCTGACCAAAATATGACTTGGGATCTAAGTCTGGTCCAGATTATATTTAGTCTAATCAGGTCAGGTAGCATCAGAGACTTGCATCTGTGTGTATAATACCACATAAACACACTATCAAGAGACGGAACATGTGAAGTTGCAGCCACAGGGCAAAGACTGCAAGCTGTCAGGTCTAGGACTAAATAAAAATCATTTTATGGTGAATTATGTTTCCTGACACCTTCTCAAAATGCTGCCAAAATTTGTATCCTTTAAAATATCACAAAAATGAACAAAAAAGCTGACAAATGAAAAATGCAAAACAAATGCAACAAAATAAAAGCTCAAAGGCACCAGACACAGATGTGCTATAAATAAATATAACCTTACACCTATGCATCAAGCGGCATATGACACCCCTCTTCCAAGCGCATCATTCACACATATAGGCCTACAGGGGAAGGAAGCAGCAAGGTGTGTCGCTAATGAGAAAAACAATATTTTATTTTGTATTAGTATTGTTTAAGCCCCTTAAACATCATACTTGATTTTTTTTAATGATGGTTGGACAGATATGTATTATGCTTTTACTTTGAAGACAAGCAGGTCTGAGATCCATCCCTGTTATAGCTGCCTCTGGCTGTCTTGATGAAGCTGATGTTCCGCTCGGCAGGGGAGCGGCGCGGCTCTTTTCACTCTCTGAAAACACACAAACACACACAGAGAGATGACACGTAGCTTTGGTCGGAGTGCAGCTGCTCTAGAACATGGCCTTCAACCACTATAATGTATGAGACTACTACTCTTTCTCTCTCTCTCTCTCTCATTGGGGAGTCCGATCTTGAGTTGTCAAGATAATATCCCCATTTCTCATTGACTTAATTGAAGACTGAAGGGTTTTCTGATAACCTGCTATTATGGCTGAATTGTTTTACAAAACGATAGAGTGTTTAAAAAAATTTCATGTAGCATATTAAAATTGCTCACAGCTATCCATCAATTATTGGAGAGAGCCTTGAGGTAACACTTCAGCTGGTGATTGTCTCATTGTTGAATGACACTTAATTTAGCTCAGCAGCTCTGTGCTGTTCTCACAGTGACTGAAGTTCTGTGACAGCCTCCCAGCTGCAGACTACAGGCAGATTAAGCAGCCAAATGCTTCTGGAGACAAGCAGTTTCCCTCCAATTAAAAAGTGGAGAATCTATGTGTGTGTGTGTGCATTGTGTGTGTGTTGTGGGGTCACATGTGCCCTGCCTATAAAATGGCCTGCAGTTTAGAGGTGTAGAGGCTATCGCTCCTTTAGCTATACAACAATGGCCTGCTTTCCCCTCACCATCAATCTCTGTCACATTCTACCCCTCCCACACACAGAGGAAAACAACACACACATTCAAATACACACATGCATGCGCAAACAAATACATATGCACGCACACATGTACACACTTTTGAATCACACGCAGCGCGACAGGAGTTTAATTATGCCACTAATCTTGAGTGACAGTGGCTGATTCCAATGGCTGACAATGACAATGGCTGATTCCCTGGGGCCATGTGTCAAAGCATCCACCCCTTCTTCTATTTATCATCTTTCTTACTTAGTCATCCATCCATTGCCCCATCCGTCCATATTTCCTCTAAACTTCTTCCTTTATTATCTTTAGAATGTTCGACCTGTCTTTTTCTATCATTCCCTGATGTACTCCTTCCTTTCAGTCACCTTCTTTGTCATTTATGTGCACTTTTCTAATAGTCATTCAAAAATGCAGCTTCTCTAATTTTACCCTTGTTACACATCATCTGCTCTTTTATCTTCTGCTCTTTCACAAAGAGCAGATGATGAGGTCAGCTGGGTCTGTGCATCGGGGGCCTCTCACTACAGAGACCTTGGCCTTAGTTCACCTGAGAATGAAGCCCCCTGATAATCACGGGGTAGTTTGACTATACTTTTCCACTACTGTATGGTGCACTGCCACATGTGTACTATCCATTGCAAAGGTGACATTTGATTTTTATGAAAAATCTTTTATAACCTTATTTTTCTAATCTTTACTTTTCACATAAGCTTTTTTGCTGAACATAGCTGCTTAACACGTTGCATTTCACTACACATGCAGTAAGTTAATGTGACAAATAAACCTTTAAATCTTTAAAATAACTAGTGGTGCATCAAGTCACAAACCCAGAAATGGCAACGGAGTAGGTGCACCAGTTGGATAAAAATGTTCATTCTTTACCTTAGAAACAGCAGTTGACATAATCCCATAAAAGAGCCACTCTAAAGCTGAACTGGAGCTTTTAATCATATCACACCTTCCCCATTTCCATTTAAAACACTTAAATAAAGATGTTATTTTTATGGTAATTGGATTGTGTGCTCACTGGGTTTGCAGCGTCTAGTCATCTATCTATATTGTCGCGAATATAATTATTAATGCAACATACAGTATGTTAGATCACTATTTATTTATTCTTATTAGTTGCAATCTCTCAGTGTACTTGAAAATTGCAGAGCTTTACCAACATTTGCTGCTTTACTGTCATATAAAATACACTCAATTTGATTTTGACAGAAAGAAAAAGTGACAAACAGATAGAGAGAGAGAGAGGATGCACTTTCTTCCAGATAGTGAGATAGTACGTGTTTATTACTTTATCTGTCTGGACCAGATGTCACCAGATGCCTGCTGCTGCCAGTCTATCTCAGCCCACACACACATATACACAGGCAAGCCACACAGTCCTTCTGCCACTCTGACATGCTATACCTCCTACACCTTGTCCTATCTAAAAACAATCTAAGTGCAGACCCAGGTTGTTGAACAGCTTATGAATGTGGAATATCAGTAAACCACTGAAGGCTCGGATATTGTTTATCCCCTCATATTACTGAGGGTGAACAGAATTCAAATACAAGTTGACATGGACAAAAAGAAAGAGAAGGAGAAACAAGCAAAATGAGATGGGAAGGAAGGGTTAGGAGAGAAAGTGAAATAAAAGTGGGTCGGAAGTGGATAATGCACTACTGAGAAAAAAAGAAAACTCCATGTTAAGGGATGTGATATAAAAAAAGAAGAAAAGTTCAAATCATAGCAGCAAAAAATGATAAAAAATACAAAGAGTTATTCTAAAGCGATACTAAGGTGGAGACCCACAGGAAGAAGACTCGTTTGTTTACCTTGTTAGCATGAGCATTCACTGCTATTCACTATCGAATTTGGGTGACAGCGCACCATAATGACATGCCATGTGTTTTGGTTAGTACTGGATGTTAAACAATTTTTGTCTAGCATTGCCATCACACTGGTGGCGGTACTGGCATGGTTGGCGGTAGTTTCACAACAAACATAAATAGGATGGTTATGTGCTGCTGCAGCGACTCCGGCATTTTGCCAATATTTGAATAATCTTTGAAGCATTTTGATAGATGGTACTTGCAAGAGCGAGAAAGCACAGTTCAGGTGTCGGTGGAAAACTTTATTGTTTGGTCAAAGCTGAACCATTTGCAGCACAGTGTCAGCAATGTAAAGGAAAAGATTTCAGACAGAGCAGAGAGATACAGACACCTGTCACTATCCAGGATGAGGGGGTGGAGATGGCACAGCTAACATTTTATAGATTTATATCAGCAGTTTGGAACTGTTCTGACAATATGTATTTACTGTAGGTATGTCTCAGTGCAGTGTGTACAACAAATAATAATCTTGGCCAGTTCACTGTTCTGCTGTTGTGTACAAAGGAAACAGGTGTGAAGTACATTTCACACTGTAGCTGTAATCAATTCAAAGATTTACTAAACATGGCTCACCGTCCACAGATATATATTTTCGGACTGTGTATTCCCTTCCAAAGATTTACTAAACATGGCTCACCGTGCGCAGATATATATTTTCAGACTGTGTATTCCCTTGTTATGGGATTGAAGACAGTTCAATAGGCACTAAAGATTCAGTTAATACATTTTATCAACAGGTAACAAGGAATGAAATGTCACTTTCACACAGTTGTTTTTGTTTTGTTTTGTTTTTTACAGTGTAATTCGTTTAATACAAATCAAACAAAACCTCTCAAAGCTGAAAAACGTGGACATTTTCATGTTCATATTTATGCATTTATTCAAATTCACTGTGCCTTT